CCTAGTCTTACCTTCAGGAACTGGCGATATCATTAAAGCCCGCCGTCTAAATAGAAAGGTGTCACACAATGATACTACTGAGTGGATCCCCACTCAATCAGTCGTAGTCACTTTCTCTGGCCAGTCCTTGCCACAGCATGTTTAATGGTTTTACTCCTCTCTCCCTGTGGAAAGCTATCTCCTCCCCACCATCCAATGCTTGAAATGCTGCCGCTTTGGCCACGTCAAAGCTCAATGTCGGTCCAAACCTCGGTGCTATAAATGTGCCCAACCCCACTCTGGGGAAACATGTAGTGTAACCACCCCAACATGTTTGTACTGTTCAGCTTTGCACCAATCTAACGACAAAAACTGCCCCGAACTATCAAGGCAAAAGTCAATAAAGCTTGTGATGTCACAAGAAAAAGTCTCTTACTTAGAAGCCTCTGTTCGCTTCCCGGCCGTCAGACGGTCTTTCGCCGACGTTGCGTCTACATCCACACATATACCATCTGACTCATTGTCCTTTCCACAACCCTCCCGTCCAGCCACCACTTCATATAGAAAAACCGTAACAACAAACCAGAAACCAAAGCCACCCCGCCAAACCTCAGGCTATGACAACCAAACCCACATGGAATTAATCGCAACTCCCTCTTCCTCTTTACCTAACGGCTCCGCCTTATTAAATAGGTCTAATACACCAGATAATGACAACTTCTTCGATTTACTACTTTCTACACTTTTAAATATCTTATCCCGTTTTGATGACACTGATTTACCGTCCCACGTGCTTAATAAACTTTCCCCTATCGTCAATAAATTTTACAATGGATCTGTACCTTCTGCAGTGGAACTGTCGGAGTGTTAGACCTAAAAAACCTGATCTCATATACCTTATAAATAAATATAAACCCGTTATCATCGTCCTCTTGGAGACGTGGCTGGTTCCGGGATCCTTTTTCCGTATCCCGGGCTATACATGTGTCCGAGAGGATCGTGCAGATGGGTACGCAGGTACTCTAATCTTAATAAAACACTCAATTATTTTCCATAAAGTTTCCCTCCCTGACCACAATACTAATGAAATTAATGCTGTTGCAGTCAGGGCTTTTAATATCTCATTCATGTCTGTCTATATTCCCCACCCACATCACTCCCTCATTCCTGAGCTTAATCTATTGTTTTCTAGTATTACCTCCCCTCTCATGATCTTTGGGGACTTTAATAGTCACCACACTGCTTGGGGTTCCTATAAAAATGACACATTCTCCTATCTTTTATTAGACATCTTTGATGAGTTTAATATATGTTTCCTCAACGATGGATCTCCGACACGTAGATCTTTCCCTCTCCAGGATACAAGACGAGCTGTGGACATTACTTTGTGCTCTCCAAGCCTAGTGCCCAGTTCTTCTTGGAGGACTCTTCCATATACTTTCGGAAGTGATCATTTCCCCATACTCGTTTCTGTAACAAGCAGCTGCACTCCATCGAAGCAACACTCTTCTCTATTAAAATTTAACACCTCTAAGGCTGACTGGGACAAGTATGGTCAATTTCTGGATTTAGAGCTACAGTCCCTGCCCAGTGTTGGGGATTTATCTCTTCAAGAAACCTATTCCAGATTTGTAGCATCAATCAATTCTTCCGCAATGGCCTCTATCCCCCTTGAAAACTCACCTCGGAGCCTAATCTCTTCCCCTCCATGATGGGATCACGAGTGTACTACTATTGTTACTAAACGAAAAGAAGCTGAAATCCAGTATAACAGCTCTATGACCACAAATAACTTTTTACACTACCAGAATGCAGCGGCCCAAGCTAAACGGCTTCTTTCAGAGAAGAAAAAATCTGGTTGGTTGCGGTTTTGCGAAACCATTTCACCCCGTTCTCCTCCTTCTATCATTTGGAAAAACATCAAAAGATTTCGCTGTTCTCAACGCAATAACGATCCCTCCAGCTTCGATCCTTCATGTTGGCTCGATGGTTTTGTGAACAAGCTATGCCCTCCATGGGTCCCCAGTCAAGAGGAGGCTTCTGCATTTGCTGCCGCCTTGGCTTCTCCAGATCGTATGAATGACCCATTCTCGTTCTCAGAACTGCTCCTAGTTTTGGACCAACTTAAGGACTCCTCCCCAGGAGTAGATGGAATACCATATTCCTTCTTGAAAAATGCGAGGACTTCTGCTAAGATGACATTTTTAGAAATTATTAACTCCATATTCCTCTCAGGGTATCCTCCGGAGGAATGGAAGGCGCATGTGGTTATCCCTATTTTGAAACCAGGCAAAAATGCTACAGACTCTTCCAACTATCGTCCCATTGCGTTATCCTGTACCCTAGCGAAAATCATGGAGCATCTTATTAAAAATCGGTTGGAGTGGCTCTTGGAAAATAGAGATATTTTAGCTAAAAGCCAGTTTGGTTTTAGGAAGGGTAGCGGCACTATGGATAGCATAAGTCTCCTGGTCTCTGATATTCGCCTGGCCTTCTCAAAGAATGAGTCTCTGATTGGTGTTTTCTTGGATATTTCCGCTGCTTATGATAGTGTGATTCTTCCCCTGCTCAGGCAAAAAATGCATCAGCTGAGCATCCCGGTAAGATTGACCAATTTCATTTTTAATCTCTTCTCGTGTAGGACATGCTTGTTTCGTTTCCAAGGAAACTTTGTCGCATCAAGGAACGTCTGGAGGGGCCTTCCGCAAGGATCTGTTCTCAGTCCTTTGCTGTACAATATTTATACGTATGATCTGGAGAGATCAGTGAACAGTTTTTGTAGTATCCTCCAATATGCTGATGATCTGACTATTTATGCCCACGGCTCGTCACTGGATGACATCGGTCTCCGTCTGAATACTGCTCTACAATACTTAGGCGATTGGCTAACTGACCATGGTCTTTCTTTGTCTGCCCCTAAAAGTGGTGTAGTGGTTTTTTCCCGGAAAAAGTTCACCCCACAAGTTCCAGTCAATATCCTAGACCAGCGTAAAACAATCTTTGACAATTTCAAATTTCTGGGGCTCATACTAGATTCCAAATTGACGGGCGTCCCTCATTTAAACTTTATTGCCAAAAAGTATGAGACTAACATTAATATTCTCCGCTCCCTGTCAGGCACTTGGTGGGGTTCCCACCCATTCTGTCAAAAAATATTGTACAATGCCATAATCCGTAGTCACTTTGACTACGGCTCGTTTTTATTGGAACCGTGTCATAAAACTGCCCTCAATTTGTGGGACAAAATCCAATCAAAGTGTCTCCGTCTCATCATTGGAGCCATGAAGTCTACACCAATAAATGCTCTCCAGGTTGAGTGTGTGGAACCCCCTCTCTTTTTAAGAAGGCAGTTTCTCGCTGATAGATTTTTGTACAAGGTGGCGCAACTATCTCCTCACCCTCTTCTGGCCAAGCTTCACGAACTGTCTGATCTAACTAGATCTTCTAAATATTGGCAAATCAAAGATATACCCTGCATTCTTAAAAGTTACCACAAATTTATCAAAATCAATTCTCCCGTTTTCCAATGCGCTAAAAATCCCCTTTTTTTCTTGTCTTTATGATGTAATAATATTTAAACCTGAGATAATCTTGGACTTTGGTATTTACAAAGATTCCCCTGCTGCAGACAGACAGTTCAATAAGGCCTTGGCTAAGGACTGGCAGGGCTGGTTGACTATGTATACGGATGCTTCCAAGCTGGCTGCTGATGGTTGTGTCGGTGCGGCTGTATGGATCCCAAAATATGAAATTATTCTGAACTGTAAATGCCCATCTCAGGCATCAATATTCACAGGAGAATCTACTGCCCTACTTGAAGCTCTCAGTTATGTTGAATCTCACAAACTGAACAAAAGTATAATTTTTTCAGACTCAAAAAGCTGTTTACAGGCTATTCTGGCAAACCAATTTGTTAGTAAAAGTAAATTCCATAATATCCTGAAGATCAAGGAGGTCTTGTATCAATGCCATAGTAATAACATTCAGGTTGTATTGGCGTGGATTCCAGGTCATAGCGGGATCCAAGGCAATGAAACCGTAGACATACTGGCGAAAAACGCTATCCAAACAGGTTGCCTTAATCATTATAGGACATATACCTATGACCTCCTGCCTTTAGCTACCAATGATATGTTTTCCTCATGGAGCAATGAGTGGAATAAAATCAAGCTTATCAAGGGCAAGTACTATGCTGATATCCAAATAAGTATCCCCAAAAAACCTTGGTTTTTTAACCTTAAAAGATTCAGTAAATCTGTAACTTCTACGATATGCCGACTTCGCCTTGGTCATGCCTGCACCCCGGTCCATCTGGCAAAACTTAGAATACGGGATAACTCAATTTGTGAATGTGGCCTAGATGAAGGTACCCCAGACCATATATTTTTCAGCTGCCCTTCCAGAACTTGTTCCATCTACGATAGTCTTCCACCGTCCATTCCGCGTCCCGTAAATTTCCAGTTTCTGCTATATGTCTTTTCAAATCCTCTACTGAAATTAATTACTGATTTTATTAGTATTAACAAACTTAAATTATAACACTATTTATTTTTATTTTATTTATATCATTAATGGTGATGGTACCTATATTGTGTCGTGTTGTATTGTTTCAGAATTGGAATAGACTAAAGAGCAGCGTTAAATGTTTAAACATTGGAAAATAAATAAAAGTGTAACTCCCATGACTGACTAGACATTGGCAAAATTCTAAAAGAGAAGCCATCCTTCTTTTTAAAAATAGAATAGAAAAAAAGGAAAAATAAAAACGATACAACTATTTGTTAATGCTGCAATTTGTTGGATATTATGTTGAAAGTGGAAAAAATTTAATTGTGCATATAAAATATCATTTTGTTGCACAAGTAGAATTGTTTACAGCTTTTACAGAAACAAAACATAGATATATAAATTAATTAATAATGTAACAAGTTATCATAAATAAAATAAAAAATAAATAATAAATAATTAGTAACAATTAAAACTTACAAATAGCAACATCATTCCTTACGCCAACGCCAATAAAAACAATCGAAATTCTGCTGATGCCTGTTGTGTTGTTGCTTTAAATTTTGTTTTCGAGAAGATTCTGTACTATAATTATGGCTGAAAGTGTCCCAGGAAATTCTACAGAAGAAGAGACATTGAAACACCTCTTCGACGATGCTATGAAACTGTACGATACTATAGAAAATGGAAAAGAATCTACAAACAGCGATGCAGTTCAGGTAGGCCTGTGCACACAGCTACAACATCAATTCTCAGCATTTTAATACAATAAATTGAAATTATAATAAAATATATACACAAAAAATGATTTCAGTCAAAATACTTAAGTTTGCAAATATTTTCTTTGTTAGAATTACACAACTTTTTAATTATATTGGTCACACAACTCGCAGAGTTGAGATTTTTTTGCACTCTGGTCTGTTTTTCTTTCATTCTTATTGTGTTAAATATTCGAAATCGAGAGGAACAGACTGAACGTGGTCTCAAAATAAGTGTGTATATTGTATGTATGTACAATACTATTTTGTGTTAATAGACACTAATTTTAAAATCAATCTATTTTGTCACCAATGCTAAGTAACTATATATATGTCGTTCATCAGTTATATGTGTAATACAACTTACGCTAAAGAGAACACACAAAAATTAAAAAAAATACTTAGGATTTGCATTAAATAGGTATAAAATAGGATAGAAAATGGTAGCCCTGGTTTGAACAATACTTTGACCCCACAGACAACTTATAAAGCGAAATTGATATCCCATTACTTAAAGCTACCCTTTTTTCAGATGAGTATCAAAAATGCAATATCAAAGTTCGAAAAGGTGACAGACCTTGTCTCTTATTCTGGAATGTTCAGTAGTAATGAGAGTCTTGAAGAGCTGCCAACAGAGACGCTTCAGTATCTCCTTCTGCCTGCGTTGCTTGGCACACTTACGTTGAAGCTGTGTGGACGGCCAAGGAAGGATATCATTCATGTTGCTGAGATTTATTTCAAGTAAAGTGTGATGGGGTTCATAGTTATCATGATATACATATAATGATCTATAAAAAAAAATATTTCCTATACTATACTATTTTGATTACATTTTAAATATCTACAAAATTATGCAATTATTTTATATTTAATTGTATCTTTTGTTTTGTAGTAATCACATATTTTGTAAATTTATGCATAAGAAATAAAATAAATTGCAACAATAACACTACATTTTACGATTATGTACATTTTTCAGAGACTTTCTACAAAGATGTAAGGACTATGGAGTAACAGATGTAGAGATACCCCAAGGAGACAGCCAATCGCAGAACAGAGAGTGCCCACTGACTGAACAAGCCAAGATTGCCAGCATGGTAACTTTACGATCTACTGCATAGTATTCTAAGGATCATTTCATCATCAATGCTTGTATCCTTAAGTTTAATTAAATACTTTATATCCATAGTCATAATGATGCCAGGTTTATATATTAAGTGTCATCTGCCCTGATTTTCAGGGGTTGTTACACTGCTCACAGTGGTCTCTCACAGACTGATAATGTATTACAGTGATTTTGCATCAAAGTGATTGTGCTAGCACAGCATAGTTGCAACAGAACCTTTTAAAACAGGGACTTTTCAATGCTCAAATCAATCCATTTTTCTGGGATATAGGGACAGAGTGGAGGTGCGTTCGTGTAGATGCCATGTATTTGGAACTCCTCACATTTGCTGGAACCACCATTCCACAGTGTTGTGTGTCTACTGAAAATCACTTAATAGTATTTTGTTAAATGTCAAATTTGTTATTGCAATGCGAGTCAATGATTTTTACTATTGCATTACTTTTAGAATTTTTAGCAATGTTTGTAAAAACATTTATACTTCTTATTCCAGGTCCTTACAAGAGATGCCAAAATCAAACGCTACAAGCAAGCTAAAGAACTAAAAGATAAATTAAGCAACCTGTCTACAGCAATGGCTTTGCCAAATGTTGACGAGGAAACAAAACGAGATTACTTTGTAACTTTGCTGTTGTGTTACATCAACCAGGCACTCGATGAGCTTGCTAGCATTGATCAGGAGAAACCTATTTTGGAATATATGGAAAAACAGACTGGACGTAAGTTATATGTTATTGTAGGTCATTCTGGGGTTTGTGTCTACCTAATTTCCATGGCAAATTTTTATCAATTATTCATGTATATTATGGTGAAATATTAAATATATTTCACAATAATATACTTGAGCCATTCCCACAAACTATTCCAAACCCAGTGTGTCTATACATACAGATTGTTTTTTTTTTATTTCTTCTTTTTGCCAATATGCAATCGGTCTTACGTGAGACCATAAGCAGTTCATTCTTTGATATATTTTGGCATGCCAGGCATACCCTTCCAACGTTGGGTTGCCTTTAAGGGGAAAACTATTCAGCTCTGTTAGTTTGGTTGGTTCTTTCTTTATAGGACTTAGTTGGCCTAGTTATTTCCTCAATAATTGTAGGCATTTTAAGATATTCTTGAATCTCATGTATTTTAGTGAACCATGGAGCATTTGTGATTGACTTAAGAACTGTTTTGGCATCAATGCAGAATTTCAATGTTTGACTGAATAGCAGTTCCCCAAAGCTCAAAGTCTACAGATGTTATGTTGTTTTTTTAGAGTAAAAATTTGTTCAAGGGAAAAATCTTATTTGTAATATTGGAGCCAATAATTTGCACTGTGGACGCTGGATGAGGAGCTCACAGGTTTGATTCCTGGTAGGATCGATTAAGGGAATGAACAATCGGTTCTGATCTGAGTATTCCGTATGAATTCTATTGCATTTATACTCATAGTACAGAGAATTTTCTAGTTTGAGACCAAGTAATTGGTGTTGTTGTCTGGCACCTAATTCAATGTCAATATACTGTATAAAATAGGTTTGTTACGTATTATTTCTGATCCATTCCCTTTATTTTTATTACAGCAAAGAAACCAAAACAAGACCGCCACATACAGCCTCTTAAGCCAGTGATAATAACTCGAGATGCAGTACAAAAAGCAGTATACGGACTTGGTTACCCCTCTATCCCCACAATGACCATCGAGGAGTTCTACGACAATAGAGTTAAGGAGGGGTTGTAAGTACATTAATTTCTTGCTTACTTCGGTGGTACAGTGACCTTAAGTGACACCAGATTTCTGTTCTGAAACTCCTAGCTAGCACCGAGGTCCTTTAGGTCTTTCTGGATTTCATTGCTCCAGCGGTACCTATAGTCTGTCTTTTTTGAAGATGGAGTAAAATAACAGTTCATTGGGTAAAAGTATTGTCTGCTTACAAGCAACTAGTAATTGCAGTCAATAAATAGTTGTGACATCTGGTATTAATTAACATGGGTGCAATTAGCTGCCATTAGCACGGGTGTCCCTCAATGCTCAATTCTAGGACCATTTTTGTTTTTAGTTTATATGAATGACTTACCTAGCCTTATGGAGGGTATAAAACATGAGATTGTATTGTTTGCTGATGATACTTCCTTATTATTTAAAGTTAAAAGGCACCAATGTTCCTACGACGATGTGAACAATGCTATATCTAAAGTAGTTGATTGGTTTGCTGTTAATAACCTACTTCTTAATGAGAAAAAAACAAATTGTATGAAATTTACATTACCCAATGTTAGAGAGACGGTTACAAACATTGTAGTTAGAAACGAAAAATTGAATCTTGTGGATACAGTTGTATTTCTAGGTATAACGTTAGATGCTAAATTGCAATGGGGTCCCCATATAATTATCAAAACGGCTCCGCTCTGCAGTGTACGCGATTAAAAAAATAAGGAAACTTTCAGACGTCGAAACCGCTACATTGGTTTACATCAGTTACTTTCACAGTCTAATGACGTACGTCATTTTGCTTTGCATTTTGCATTTTGGGTAATGCCGCCGATATCAATAGAATCTTTGTCCTGCAGAAACGTGCGGTTAGGGCAATTTACAATCTGGGCCCCAAAGTATCTTTGAGAGATAAGTTTAAGGAAATTAACATTCTTACACTAGCCTCACACTACATTTATGAAAATGTAATTTATGTTAAAAGGAATAGTCATTTCTTTATGAATAATAGTGATAGACATAACATTAACACGAGGAATAAAAATAAACTAGCTTTTCTTGATAGTCGTCTTCACAAAGTCAAAAAATCATTTAAGGAGCCAATGTATACGCTTCTATAACAAGATTCCGGTTGATATACAAAATTTGCAAAATTTGAAATAGAAGAGATAAAAAACGAAAAGGAATAATTATAACCTTTCTTGTCTATTCTATTTTTAAGTTTCTGGTCTCTCTTGTAGAATTTTGCCAATGTCGTGTCAGTCATGGGAGTTACACTTTCGTTTTTTAGATGTTTAATTAATTAACACTGCTCTTTAGTCTATTCTGGTTTCTGGAACAATACAGAACAACACGATATACCATCACTGTGGTTACCTATCAGTAACCGAAAATCCGATATGACATTTTCCAGAAATAACGTTTGGTCGAAATTTCATAACCTCGAAAGTAATTTTGAGAGGAAAATGTTTTTTCTTTTAAACCTAACTTAACCGAACCTAATCGTGTCTTTGTAATAAACATTCAACATATCCTGAAAGAACAACTGTTTTGTTATAATTTGGTTTTCTGTGTAATGAAAATTCCAACAAACTTTATTTCGAACAAAAAAATTTTCATCACCGTTACAAATAGTTAAATAAATAAGTTTTATAATTTAAGTTTGTTAGTACTAATAAAATCAGATATTAATTCTAAGAGGGTATTTGTAAAAAACATATAACAGAAACTTGAAATTTACGGGGCGAGGAATAGAAGGTGGAAGACTCACAGATAGAACACGTTCTGGTCGGGCAGCTGAAAAATATGTGGTCTGGGGTGCTTTCATCCAGGCCGCTTTCACAAATTGAGCTATCCCGTACTCTAAGTTTTGCCAGATGGACCGGAGTTTATAACATTTGAAGTACAAGTTGGGTTTTTTCAGCGACACTAAGGGTCGTATTCTAGAACTCTACTCAATGCTCAAGTCAGGACTTGAGTATTGCAGTGAGCACTGAAAATCATCAAGTCCTTGCCATTAGGGTCGTATTTCCAGTGCTTGATATCATATTCAAGTCTGCTCAAATCCTGACTTGAGCATTGAGTAGAGTTCTGGAATACGACCCTGAGTGCTAACGTCAACACCGACGACACCACGCAGCCAGTTTCGTTTCAGCCAGTACGCGGGGCATTCGATATCATTGTAGATTGAATAACGCAGGCAGAATATTGAACAGTCCGTATTTTTTTTTGTGTGTATGTACGTGATTTTCCGACATACTTGAACCGATTTTAATGATTCTTTTTTTGTTGGAAAGGAAGTATCGCATCAGTGGTCCCGTTAACTGCCTCCGTGGCCCAACGGTTACCATACCGGACTGCCACGCAGAGGTCCCCGGGTTCGATTCCCGGGCCGGGAGAAATATTTGTATGGCCTACATTTATTTCTCTCGTGAGTTTGTGTAATTTGTGGTTGTCTATGTGTGTGTCCATGGCACCCGCGACACAGGGTTTCCCTAGTTCGGGGCTATGTTGAGTGTGTGCGTTCAAATTTGAAGAAAACATTCCACCTCAGGTTCTTCAGTAGTTTTTTTGTGTGTATGTTACGCGTTTACTCCCGACATTTATAATGTAAATATATAATATAGATAACTGCCTCCGTGGCTGGTTACCATTTTGGCTGCCACACGGAGGTCTCGGGTTCGATTCTCGACCTGAGAGAAATATTAGCAGGGCCTACATTTATTTCTGCACCTTCCTGACTATACTCTGGAAGATGCAGTTGTTATTGAAAATTAATCCAGTCCATGGCACCCGCGATACAGGGTTTCCCTAGTGCGGGACTGTGAGTGTGTGCGCCTTATTATTATTATTATTTGTGAACCGATTTCGATGATTCTTTTTTTATTAGAAAGGACGTACCTCAGTACTGGTCACATTCAAATTTAAAGAAAATATTCCACCTCTAATATTCCGCCTTCCAAGGGTGGCTAATTAGTTGATGAATCCAGTTTATTGAATTTCAATATAACTTGGCACATAGATGTAGTTCCAATAAAATTAACACGGGTAAGCAAACAGCAAAATTTTGAGGTCGGGTTTTTTTTTTAAATTTTATTTTCCACTGCGGTATACAGATTTTTTGCCTCCTCCACTGGCATCAATAATTTATAATTCAGAATTTTGGAAACTAATAAAAATAACCAGGTATGTTGTGCATTTCAGGTTCCCTGGATCGTGTACATCCATTCCTCATCAAACTATACACAGTTCTGAGGACGATCCGGACGACGTCGAGAATATAAGAAAGGTACGCTTTTTAATAAAATTAAGACACAATTAATTGATTGATGAAATAAAGATCCCAAAAACCAAAATAAATTGTAGCGAACTGTAACACTAACTTAGAGCGAAGCCACATGGATGCTGCTGGTGTGTTGCGTCGTTGCAACGCTATGATTTCAATCGCACAACGTGAAGGTCTGTCCAGATATAGGCGTTATTTGCTGCCGCTGTGGCAGCAAATAAAGGCATTGCGTGTTACTAAAGGCCCATTTAGATGGAGAGAGTTTCTCGTCTCGAAGGTACGATTATCGAAAGAATTCCACGTGAGCGATAATCACCTCTCTTTTGAATATTGAACGTCTCCGTAAACAGAACTTGAAAGCAAAAATTTCGAGTTTTTGTGCCAGCCGTTTCTACCATGCGTGCAGTGCGCGAGGGTGTTTTGACTCTCACTGCTTTTCTAAGACAAGAATTAATGAAACGAGAGCGAAAAAAAATTTGGGTTAAGAAATATTATAAAATTTAAAAATGTATATTTTTAAACAGTGCAATGAACTTAATATTATCAGCAGTTCCAAATTTGAATGATTTTTGCGTCATTTTGATATATTCATAGTCAATACCGAAGTAATCAATGATCTCGAATCGCAATTCTCGCACTCAAAACAGTTAGAACCGACTTGTACGATAATCGTATGAACTTGAAAAAATGTCATACGAGATCGTGTTTAGACAAGTCGAAAACTCGTAAGCAAGAATCTCCTTACTACATATTTCTCTGTGTAAACAGTCGAGGAGGCGATTACGTTGTTTGCGAATCTCGTATGACATAATCGTAGGCGAGATTTTAGTTCTTGCCTCAATGTAAACATTATGATACGATAATCTTATGGCGATTATTTATATATACTTACGATAATCGCGTACGATTTTTTGTCACGAAGCATGCGATAAACTCTCTCCATCTAAATGGGCCTTAACTAATTTATAAAAAACGCTTCCTAATGTGGGTAGATATTGGTAATCCGAAACAAAATAAAACACTGTCTATAAAAATGTAAAAAAGCGTGGTAATAAAATAAAAATCTGAAAAGTAAATTAAAAATGAGTTTATTCAGCTTTAGCATGGGCCAATATGAAAATGGAAGTAAATTAATTTGCTAATTTGCGAACTCAGTGATGGTTAAATCATGCAAAATAGCTGCGCTTGTGTGAATATTTTTCCATGCTGTTAATTTTTCCACCTTCCTTCCGCGTAAAATTAATAAAATAAATAACACAAGCGCAACTACAGTCACAAACACCACCACCAAATATTTTTTGTTATAATATCAAGATATTCTTAATTTGTTTTCAGGAAGAAAGAATTGAAAAAGATGACCCCGAAGAGTTGGCACGACAACGGAATATGGATGAATACAAGGACGAGCATCGCCGCGGGTGGGGCAACCGGTATAACAGAAGTTAAAAACCTGCCTCGTATTATTTATTACAATTGTCAGTGGGATAGTTCGCAATGTCATTTTTAACCGACTTTGAAAAAGGGAGGAGGTTATCCATTGTTTTTTTTGTGTGTGTTGTACTCCGACATTTATAATATAACTATATAACATAGATAACAGCCTCCGTGGCCGAATGGTTACCATGTCCCGGGTTCGATTCCCGGGCCGAGAGAAATATTTGTTTGGCCTACGTTTATGTCTGCACCTTCCTGACTATACTCTGGAAGATGCAGTTGTTATTAACTAAAAATTAATCCAGTCCATGGCACCCGCGATACAGGGTTTCCCTAGTGCGGGACTATGAGTGTGTGCGACTTATTATTATTATTTGTGAACCGAGGATTTCGAGGATTCTTTTTTTATTAGAAAGGACGTACCTCAGTACTGGTCACATTCAAATTTAAAGAAAATATCCCACCTTCCAAGGGTGGCTAATTAGGGGATGAATCCAGTTTTTTGAATTTTACCCACTTTCCGTTAACCAAATTCAATAAAATTTGACAAATAGACGTAGTTCCACAAACCTGAGGTCGTTTTTTTAAATAAAGTTATAATTATGTTGACGTGAATTGGAGTCAATAAAACTGTCGACAACAACTACATAACTATTTAAAATTTTATGAAAACTGGCAACCCTGTGAATGTTATTTTACTTCGTCTTCAAAAAAGACAGACTATACGTTTGTATAGAGTTACCTTACTTGTCTTGTTATTCTATTTGTTTACTTTGTACATTGCGTAATTAAAGTTGATCCATTACGTTCCGTGGCAATGTAAATTGACTCTCATTCTTCTCGCGGGCGGTATTTATATGCAATTATGCTTCTTACATATTTATATTATGTACTAACTGTGAATAAATACATTTATAAACTATGTTTTGCATTTCAATGTAATTATTTTAGCAACCGTATTTTGTATGTCGCATGTTAATTGATTTTATTAGATTTGAGAAATCTTTTAGCCGCAGTCAATTATGGTTACGTAGATCCTAATGATATATTTAACTGACTTCAAAAAAGAGAAGTAGGTTCTTGATTCGAGTATGTTTTTTTTGTATGTTACGCGATAATTCCGGCCAGCATTTTTGAACAGATTTTGATGATTCTGTTTTTGTTGGAAAGAGTGTCCCATTTAAATTTGAAGAAAGTATTCCATCTCTAAGGGTGGCAATCTAGGGGATGAATGATTTTTGAGGTCGGTTTTCTTAGTAGTCTCACTGTACTGAGATTATTTGGTTAGATAACACTAACAAATTTTCAAAATGGACGTTTCTGGTTTAACAGTATTGGTTTCCGTATAATTGAGCAATAAGAATGTAGAAAATACTTTTTTGGGGCGTTATGGCTTGTGTCCTACTGAGTACAACTCTGCCAATATCCGGGTTGAAAGATAGAAAAGATGAGCTAAGTTTTTTTCCATCCTATATAATGTATATTTCCTTTGAAACTTGACATTTGTGGCTGTCAGTGGTATTTACTTAGTTACATGCTTAGAATAATAACGCATAGAATGATAGTTTCATATCAAACGAACTG